TCAGCAGCCTTGGTGGGAGTGTGGGGAAGGCTTGTTCGTTACAGAAAGGCTTGTCAGGTTAAAATTAGTTTTGTTTACAAATGAAGGAAATGTATGCACTGAAGAAAACAAAAGATTCTACTAGGTCGTCTTTTCATAGTACAGATTTGGTATCCATCTCCCTGAAGATGATAAATGCTCCTAGAAAGCAAATTTTAAAGGGTTTGGAATGCATACAAATAGCCACTAATTGAAGGACCAGGTGCAGGTGTTCCTGTTTACTATTATGAAGAAAATCCTGAGGCTATGGGTGGGAACTGTCAGTGTCTTTCACTGCAGAGAAATGCCAGATGTGGTGTGTAAAAACTATACCAACCATGGAGGCTTTTGATCATTTTAATGGAGAAAATCACCCTTTGATTATGAACAATACATAAGTGTGTCCTACAATCAAGTTCTATTTACAGACCTTGAAAGTAGTCTATATGTGGTGGGGGTGAGAAGATGACTGTCCAAGAGTCCCTTTCACTGCTCATGAGATTTAGTAAGAAAGAAGTCTGGAACAACCTGGCCATTAAAAACGGTTCTGGATTTGTCCCTATGGGATTCTGTCTCAAAGGCGAAGTGCTAACTGAGAAGTGCAACATCTTTGTCTTCAGAAGACTTGGCTGTGATAAAAAATCCTTCCTGTCTGATGAGAAGTTTAAAAGGAGGAAAAAAGGGGGTCGAGGAGATGCTTTGTCTCACCTAATGAGGTACGTGATCATTTTGCAATTCCAGGCTCACTCATAGCAAAAGTCACAAGATTTTAGTAGATGTGGGCTATTCTGTTTGCTATCAAAATCTTAGAAATGCAACTGAAGAGCTGTGTCGTATTTATAGGACAGTAAATGTGAGAGAAATAGACATTTGAAGCATATTGTCCACATCTAGGGGACACTTGCTATGGATTATCAGAAATAGCTTGGTATTAACACTGATTCATATTTCTAATGCTTTATAAGCATCAGGCATTACTCTGAACTGCTTTTCACATCTATTTTTGTGCAGTAGTTCATGATGCTTTAGACTGCATGTGAGCTTTGCTGAAATGCTGATAGTTTTATCTATGGGCCAAACTTACTGCTATGGCTTTTGCAGAGTTTAGAAATAGAAATATTGCTTCTGCACCAAGATGGGTTTATGCAGACCTTAGATATATATACATGTGTATGTAACTGACCTGTGCAGCTCTCTGAACTTCTATTCTTCCTCTCTGAGGAAGAAGCAGCCTGATCACTTTACTAGTGGGTCAGAACAAGTAAGCTGCAGTGGAGCATGGAGAAGTCAGTTGTGACTGATAAATGCCAGTAGTAATGTCAACCTCCTTTAAATACAGAGAAATTACAAAACTACAAATAAAAATAATCCCATGCTTGTATGGAGTCTTTGTGATTCTCTCTTGGCAACAAAGTTGTTGTCCTGCCTTTTGTTCAAGGCAA